TCGTTCAGATTCCCACACCCACTCTCAAACAGAAAGCAAGAGATCAAAATAAAGAAGGTACTATACATATTCACAAGAGTACTTACAAAATGAATCATGATGCAAGGAAAATCATTAGCAATAGAGCCACCTGCTGTACTGCAAGAAAACTACACCAGCGTAAAAAAAAAAAAAAAAAAAGGGGGGGGGGGGGGGGGGAGATAATGTATAGAATAAACCAAAATAATTTCCAGTTTTCAACTATTATGTATTACAAAAGAGGTGAAAATGATCAGCGGATCAAATTAAACTACAGTGTAATTGTTATATGGCTCACCACTTGTCACAAATTATTTTGATGTATGGATAAAAACCATATTTACAGGCACAGTCCTGATCGCTGTACTATCTGAACATCTCAAAAACACTAAGGAATTGAGCCTCTCAACACCTTTTAGGTAGAAAAGTATCATCTCTATATTACATAGGGAGAAACTGAGGCACAGAGAGAGGCTAACTTGTACACGGTCACAGAAGAAAGCTGTGGCAGAGCTGGAAATTTTTATTAGAGTAGTATTTGTTCAATGTCGATAATGTGCTTGGCGATTTATCCTACACAAAAATAAAGATATTATCTGTCTCAGAGAGCTAACTGTAATAAAGATAGGCACAAGTAAGACAGGATACTCCAGAGATGGGGATAACTTAGGTGATTCTAATTTAAACTTCCCTCCATCTAATTCACTTATTAAAGTCTCTTCTTAACGAGCACTGTGAAATAGGTGGATTTGTAGAAGGGGTTTTGAGAATAGAACCCTGCTGAGTTTAGTTCCTGAAAGTCTAAATGATCCAGGACTGTGGACCCACTTGAGCAGTAGCCTGAGGGACTTCCTTGTACTGCATGGGCCACAACAAGTGAAAAACTTCATGTTCCCCAAAGACAATGAAAATAGAAGTTTCCATCCAACACATTACTGGCATGAAATCCCCAATGGTGACAAAGTGGAGAAGCCATGGCTTATGTACTCAAAAACCCAGAATGCTTCATACTGTTTTTGTTGCAAACTCTTCCAGTCTAATGTTCCAGCCACATTGGGTTCTACAGGAACAAAGGACTGGAAAAATCTGGCTAGAAATCTGGCATGCCATGAGAAGGCAGCAAATCACCAGAGAGCATTCCATAGGTGGAAAGAGCTTGAGATGAGACTAAGGTTAAAGGCCACCATAGATGATCAGCATCAAGAGAAGATTGCATCAGAGATTCTTTACTGGCAAAATGTTCTGAAAAGGTTCACTGCCATTGTGAGAATGCTTGCTACCCAAAACCTAGCACTGCGTGACACTTCAGATCAGCTGTATGTGCCAAACAATGAAAATGTCCTTAAAATTGTGGCGCTGATGGCTGAGTTTGATGCTGTGCTCCAGGAGCATCTAAGAAGAGTCACCACCCAAGAAATGTATACACACCACTACCTTGGAAAAATAATTCAAAATTAGATCATACAGTTACTGGCAACAAGAGTCAAACAGAAGATTGTGGCAGATCTGAAGTCAGCAAGATATTATTCTGTTATTCTAGACTGCACACCTGACATCAGCCATATGGAACAAATTACTTTAATGGTGCGTTTTGTAACAACAACAGAACCTAGTGAAAATGTCCCTGAAATGGTGACTGTCAGAGAGCATTTTCTAGAATTTATTGACACTGATGATACTACAGGAGCTGGTATGACAAATGTGCTTCTTAAAAAGCTGAAAGATACAGGAATTGCGATAGCTGACATGAGAGGTCAGGGCTACGATAATGGTGTCAACATCAGAGGAAAGAACAGGAGTGCAGACACGGATCTGAGAGTTAAACCCTCGAGCTTTTCTTGTCCCATGCAGTTCTCATTCATTGAACTTGATGGTCAGTGATGCAGCCTCAGCTTCTAGTGAGGCTGCTGAATTTTTTAATGTAATTCAAAGCATCTATGTATTTTTCTCTGCATCAATGGCAAATTTTGAAGCAACATCTGGGAACATCCTCTGATACTGAAACCACTGAGTGCCACACAATGGGAAAGTCGAGTGGAGGCGATAAAGCCTATCAAACACCAAATTGGGAAGATAGATGATGTCATAGTTGCCATTATGGAGGATAACGCTATGACAGGAACTGTTCATGGGAGAACAGTGACAGAGGGAAATGGAATCACCAGAAACATACATAACTTCAAATTTCTGTGTGGCTTAGTGTTGTGGCATGACATACTGTTTAAAATAAATGTTGTAAGCAAGAGACTCCAAGGTGTTGACCTTGGTATATCTGGAGGAATGGAACAACTGGACAAAGCAAAGTCATACCTACAGTCTTACCGGTCATACGAAGGATTTCAAAATGTTCTGAAGAGTGCACAGAAGTTAGCAGAGGAACTTCACACTGAAGCTATTTTCCCACCCATTCAAGAATACAAGAGTCACCGAAAAAGACGACATTTTGATTACGAGGCATGGGATAATCCCATAAGAGACTCCAAACAACAATTCAAAGTTGAATTCTTTAACCAGGTGCTAGATTGTGCAATGCAGTCAGTTGAAGAACGTTTCATGCAGCTCAAGGAACACAGCAGTATATTTGGGATATTGTATGATATTCCAAAACTCCTCACTATACCTGAAGAAGACCTACACCAGCAATGCAGGGCACTAGAGACAGTGTTGACACATGATGACATGCGCGATATTGATGCGAGTGATTTAGGTGATGAACTGAAAGACCTTTCAAGATACATTTCAGCAGGATCAACTCCAAAGGCTGTTCTGGAATATATGTGCACAAATAAGATGACCACCATCTTTCCAAATGCTTTTGTTGCTCTGCGCATACTTCTAACACTTCCTGTAACAGTTGCCAGTGGAGTACGCAGCTTCTCCAAGCTGAAATTAATAAAAACACATCTACGCTCCACAATGACATGGGAGAGGCTGGTCGGCCTTGCAACCATCTCAATAGAGCATGAGCTGGCCCAGACTGTGGACCTTCAGCAGGAAACACTTCAAATCTTTGCAACCCAGAAGACACAGAAAGCACCACTTTGATTATTCAAACAGATAAAAATGCCAGTGTTTACTATGCAACCAAGAAAAGTTACATTTGCTGTTCAGGCATTTGAAAGTTAAGTGTTACTTAAATTTTCTGAACAAGGCATTTTAAGTTGTTAGTTCTCCTTTATTGGGGTAGGTAGCAGAGCAGTACCATGAGAGGAGTAGAACAGGAAGAAGGCAGAATTGAGACTTTTCAAAGTTTAGGCCCAAGCGAGGGAGCATGGGGGCGTCATTTGAGCTCCCCGCCTCAGGTGCCAAAATGTTGTGGGCCGGCCCTGGCTTGGACAAGGATCCACCCTCCCTCCCCCCAAAATTGTATACATCCCTGTTCAGATGCACTGAGGATGGGATGCTTTAGCAGACACCATTTGCTCCCTGAAAATGCAGAGGGCCTTGTCATTTTGAAGCTATCTGCACACAAATACTAATGAATGTTATCTGTAATTCCTATAACAGCCACAGTATAATAGTCTTATTTATAAAATAAATCAAAGCAATGCTTTACTATCAGTGTATAAAAGAATTCTCTAAAAGAATGATCAAATGAATAAAATCCATTAAGCACATACTGGATATGTTTTCAGTTTTCATTGATCTGACTGTATTCTAGTACTGAGCAGTACTTTTCCAGTGCAAATTTCTATTATACATTCTTACAAGGGCTTTTCCAGACAGGATGTTAATGCACAACAAGCCAGGGTGTGAATATATAGCATGCTGGCTTGCCACACAATAACATCCCGTATGCACACAGCTACAGTACACTAAAAGTTCCATTGTCAGAGTGCATTATGGAATTTTTAGTTCACCGTAGCAGTGCCCACACAGGACGTTACTGCATGGCAAGTTGGTGCACTGTAGATTCGCACGATGGCTTGCCACGCACTAACATCCTGAGTACATAAGCCCTAACATCGGGTGATATTCATACCTGTGCAGAGGCCCAGCACAAGGCATATGCACCACTTAAACCCTGAGAACACCAGACTTCAAGGGCTCAAAGGTGAATTTCATCCTCAATACACAGATCTAAATTTGCACTTATATAGGGATAGATGTGGCTCATCAACATGAGCTTACAGCAGCAGTCCCAACAATATTGGAGCAATATGGCCTAGTGTATAGAACACAGGACTTGGATTCAAGATTCTCTGATTCTATTTCCGTCTCTTCCACTGACCTACTGGGTAACCTTATGTAAGTCACTTTACCTCTCTTTGCCTCAGTTTCCCATCTGGAAACTGGATATACTAATCCGGACCTCCTTTGTAAAGTACTTTGAGATCTAATGAGAAGTGCTATTTAAGAATATATAAGGTGGTAGAATTATTATATGGGACTTACTCGTGTAAGTGGTCATTGGTATGAGTAAGGGTTGCACAATGTAGTCCAAGGTAAAGGGAAATAGTTCTCCCATATGTACTATTTGGCAAATTAATAATGTTTACAAATCAGATTTTTTTGTCCGTATTACAACTGGTCCAAATGTTCTGAATTCTGAAATTTTGATGAAAAGCTTTGTTGACATTCTGAATTTAGATGAAACTTACTACCTTATAATAACTGCTTCAGAGGAAGAAGTGTCTCTTAGTATGGGTTTGTACTGTGAGTAGTAGAATGGGGCCCAGTCTCAACGGGGGCCTTTAGGAGCTGCTATAAATACAAATAAATTAAAATATAGGGAAAATTTTTACTAAACTTTTGCAAATCATTCTTCCCATTTTATGACCAGCTCCAATAAATATCATAGTTTTATACAAAATAAGTGACATATCTTATTACCTGCGATATTAATAGTTACTAGCTGGGGTGTTAGATCACAGTTTTGTCTAGTCTAAGTATTTAACATCCAATTATCAAGCCCCTAATTTAAAACTAAAGATTTTCGTAACTGCATTATCTACAGAATGTTTAAAAATGCATATATTTACCTGCCATCATCGCTACCATGCTGGCTTTGTAGACATTGGTAAGTGATCCAAGCTCTCCTGTTGCCAAGATTGTTTTCATGTGAGCATCTCCACAGGCCTGACGAAACTGACGGATCTCTTCATAGAGGCCTACAGGAAAGTCATTTTAAAACTATAAAAGCTGGTCAAGAAACATTCTGAAGTATGGTGTTTATTTCCACTTCTGGGTGAATGCAAACAGGTCTAAGAACTAGTTATAAAGCTAAATGTTAAAGGTTCATTGAATCACATTGCTGTGTAGGTAGTTAGCACTGCTATACAGTTTCAAATTCATTTTAATAGCTGTTAACTTCATTTCATTCAAAACCAAGAAAATATTCAAATATGTTTGGCATATGAGAACAAGTCAGCAGTATAAACAGGACAAAGACTTAAAAATCTCACTGACTAGCCCTAAATATACCAATAAAACATTATCAATACTTCTAAAGTCTCTCCTGTTTGCTTGTTAATAGCTTTCCTGCACATTCATTGTGTCATTTTTCTCCTTCTCGCTCCAGCCTTCTGATGCTCTCGGCCTTGTCATCAACTTTCTGGAATGTCTTCTACTTTCTGGAATGTGTTTTTCAGCCTGTCCCACTCTGTCTTGTCTTCCACCCCTCTTCTACCCCACCATTTCTAATTCTGCCCTTAGATGACATACACAGTTCCCAATGGAGTTGCATACACGCATCCAAGGGCAGAATTTGGCCCTTATCCTTATCCATAATTGATAAGATGAGCTGGTTAGAATTCAGGAAGGAGATCTTGTGTGAACCTGTAGCTATGAAACAAACAAACCAAAAAAACTCTTTTGAATCTGAAACGATTGTCATAGCCACAGGAACACCACACCCCCAAGTGCCCTTCCCTTGCAACTTGGCAGACTGTTATTTCAGTATGGACTAGAATAAATTTGAAAACATTAAGAGACTTCTAATTGATATTGTTTTAAAAAATGATTAAACCCCTTTGACCTGATCAGATAATGAGGGGTGAGTGTGGAAGCACTGGGAAATCCACCATATTTTGGTGGAGACTGAAGTATTCTAAAATAACAAAGGATGGGAAATAGCCACTAGATAAATCCAAACATGTATATTAATACACAGTGATGCTTTTCTAGTAAAATATAACTACAGACATTTTGAAAAAGAGCAGATACCCCAACATTAGCGACCTGGAGAAATCAAGTATGGGAAGCCCTTTCGGTGGAAACAATGACAGACAGCTTTATATCAGAATCAAGTAGTTTTTATAATATAGTGTTCCCATTTTTGGAATTTTAACCAAATAAAGATACAGATAAAAGGATGACCAACCAAACTGGGTCCTTTAAAGGTAACAAATTCAGATTATGAGTAAGATTTGTTAATACATGAATGGAAATCAATGTATATTAATAAATGATAAAATAAAGTTAAAATATATTTAAATACATCTTTGCTGTGCAATGACCATGATAATTGTGGACACTACAGAGCAAAGGCATGTTTAGTGATAAACTAGCAATCTTCTCTCCACCCCCAAGAGACTGTCCAAACCATTCAGTGGACTTATCAAACTGCTTCACTGCTGGTCCTCCACTCCACCTGCTGTGCTTCTGCATTCTATTGATGTCAGGATGTAGCTGCTATGTTTGATAGCACTGCAGTGTTCCGCTGTGACATACTATGCATATTAGCAGACACCTGGCTAATGCACTTAGTGAGTCCCTTTATAGACACCTGGCTTACCTCACATCTCACTCTGTACCCAAAGTGTGAATTAATCAGTGCTACCATACAGTCGAACATGTATTATTGATACTCCAGAAGCCTCCTAGATCAAATCAACACTCAGAAAGGAAACACAAAGAACCTGTGTTATTTGCTTGAGTAGAGGATTTGATAAGTGATAATATGACTGGTTGATGCTCATATTAGATCATAATACAGTCTCTTTTTGTAGAGTGACTATTTCCTGAAGCCTTTAGAAAACCAAGGAAAGCAGCTTTCATGTTCTACTAGTTTCAGTAGCAATAAGAAAAGATTCAAGTTTTCTCTAGTTCTAAGACATGCTGCCAAAAATTTCAAAACAAATTAATAGAATGTAAATTTAGGTTGGATGCCATGAAAGAAAATGATCTTGTTCTCTGAAGATAGTGCTGTAGTTATAGTATTATCCCCCCCACACACACACTTTTGATATGTGCTTCTATATGAAATTAGTGCAGGAATGAGTTAACTGCCTCACTAGCCAATGGGATGTGTGGCACCCAATGAAGAGGAATAACTGAGGCTCCTCAGCCATCAGTATCTTTTCTGCCACATTCTTCAAAGTAATGGTGAAAATGGATATGTACTTTTCCCCCCTGACTCTAGCAGTAGGGACACAATAACGTCTGTAATAATTACCATATATTCAGAGAACAATTGTTACAGATAATATCTTGTTTTTATATGGTGCCTTTGATCCTAAAATATCCTAACACACTTTTCAGTTTTACAGCACCTGGGGGGAAGGTACCCTACTGGCACAAGTCATATTGCAATATAGTAAAGAGAGAGGAAGTTTTGATCACGGATGTTGGGACAAGCCCCCAACCCTATAAAAAAGGCTTCAGTATTCACACAGAGCAGACAGGAGGCCATTTTAGGGTTGCATCCAAATTACTTGCACAAGCTTCATGATACTCAAGTTGCATGCTTCCTAAAGAAACCGGGCTGAGTAGATCATACCGGACCTGAACTCATGATTTCCTGGAGTCCTGGCTTTGTATGTGGTAGGGTTTGCTGCCAAAAATGTGTGTCTGTTGTTCAGCTCCACCAGTCCCATCACTGGGAAAGAGCATACAGGATGCTAGCAGCCCCTGGTATTTTAACCACTATGTTGTTCAGATTTCCTGAAGAGGGCTAGATGACAAAGTGGTTAAAATGCCAGTGACTGCCTCATGCCTTGTCTACACTAATGCTCCTTTTGCTACAACTGGTGGCACTGAACCAATTAGTAGTAATGGTGGAAAACTTCTTATGTCAAAAATGACTAGTGTAGAAACAGCCTTCTTGTTTCAGATGTGAAACTTAGACCATGACACTACTCCACTATCATTGGAAAGGCTGTGAGAGAGCCAACTTCTGGCTGTTGTAAAAAAAAAAAAAAAAAAAACACCCAACAAATCCTCAACACTCCAGGGAAAATTGTTAATAGTAGCAAACACAGAGCAACATCTGTATTAAAAGTTGTCACTTTCAACTCAGCAAAGACTCAAAGGGGAGAAAGAGAATCATAGCCTGTCTTTTAGCCTTTAGATTTGGGTAAGATCCTCAGCTGATATGTAAATCAGCATAGCCCCATTGACTGTTGTAAATTGGTACCACTAAAGTCAACAGAACTGTGTCCGTTGACACTAGCTGAGGAGCTGACTGAGGTACAGTCTGTGCTGATGGGGATGCAGAGTGGCATGAGGCAACAGCAGCTTTGTTAAAAGACCAAGCCCCTCAGTGACTCTGCTCAATCTTAAAATTTTCCATGGCCTGCCAAAGAATTTTAGTGGATTTGTGGCCCTCTATTATCTTAAAGTTGCCCAACCTGTTTTAAGGAATTTCTCCTTTTCTGGTTTGACCTTCACTCGCTCTTTTGTTGGTTGGTTGGTTTTTTAATCTTCCTTTCCTTTCTCTTCTCATAGTTCTCTCCCCTCCGTTTCCATTCCTCACCCATCTTCTTGCAATGAGAATCAGAAACAAGGTCCCCCACCAAATCCAGGCAAGTTTTGGGAGGTGAGCAGGTAGTGAAGTGATTTTGTGGATGTCACTCTCCAAATATAGGTCTGTCAATAGCCCCGTTAACAATGCAACTTCCTGTTACCAAAGTCCAGTGGGCCAATGGAGATGGAGACAAATTTTGAAGTGGCCTTTTGAAAAAGTGACAGATCCTTCAATTCCTTAGTGGCATCCGAGAAGGAAGCCTTACTGGAACCAGTATTGGGGAGGGATTTGGTATACAGTTCCCCTATGGAGTTCGGCCTTCAGAAAGACATTGGTGCTTCAACTATAATAGAGCAGCTGATGGTGAGCTCATAATTACCTAGAAGGGATTGGCGGAGATTGAGCAGCATGATCATGGCATCTCAGCAGGCTTTGGGACCATAGTGCCCAATCCCACACACCTATTGATGTCAATAGAGAGATTCCCAATTAACTTCAATGGGCCATGGATCAAGCCCATATTTTTTGACACATGGCCTATACTGTTGTATAGTGTTCCATTTCCATTTCTGCAGCCTATTGCTCTCCCAAACAAAAATGTCATTTGCCTTTCATTCATAATATGCCAGTGGAAAAAATCAGATAGTTAAATACACAATACTTTCAGAAAAGTACTACTGTACTAAATCTGCTCTTTAACAATTTTTTAACGTGCACCATTAGAAAGCATGTTAAAATTGTTAAAAAGCAGATTTAGATTATTATATTTCAAGTGCAATAAATATATTCAACAATATGTAAGAATAGCTTTAAAGTAACTCTCAGTATAATTGGATGTTCACTAAAATACTTAATATAACATTGTCCAGCAACTTTTTAAACAAAGTCACAAAAAACTTAGAAAATGCAGTTTTCATCTATCAAGGTGACTCCAATTAGCCCACAGTCTAGGGGGAAAAAAGCTGAAAAAATACATAAAAACAGAAAGATCTAGTTTGCAAAATAAAAAACTTAATATAAACCACACATATTTTTGTCAAGAACACCTGAAATTTTGAAGAATCACAGCATGAGAAAACAACCATAAAAATACACTGGGGCTACAAGTATATGCAAAGGTTCTGTCATTATTATAAAGCACATGAGCAAAACAGTTGTGGTTTATGAAGTCACTGGAACAAAGATGTATTTACTGCCCTCGCCACCACTTTTCAATTTTATATAACACATGGGTCCTGCTTGGAAAGACTTCCTTAGCCCTTTCTCTGGCTTCCTCAAATAAATTGTAGAATGCAAAAAGATTTATCATTTCTAGACATTAGATATAGCCAGAGTTTGGGCTATATTATAAATCATATATATGTCTGTAGAATGTTAATCCTATATACTGAACATCAGCCTTACAACAAAATTTCCCCTCATCCA